AGAACAATTGGCATGAAAATATTTGTAGAAAATACAGAAGGAAGCCATGTCATGGTGAGAAAGTGGCTGAAGTCAAAATTCTAAGTCTGGACTGATTAAATTACAGACTATTCTTTGAATTTTCTCAAGAATTTCAAGATGCAGGGTGCGATGGATAAATTGTCATGCAAATTAAACAAAATGGAAAATTACACTGAATCTTGAAATGCTAAAGAGTAAATTTATTTAATAAAATCACCATTGGTTTCAACCACAGCCTCTTGACGACTTTAGAATCTCCTGCAACTCTTCTGGATAGTCTCCTTGTTTAAGTTGTTGAATGCTGCCATAATCCTTGCTTTCAGTTCATCTTTGGTGTTACAAGTAGTTTTGTTCATCTCTCACTCAACTGTGCCCCACACATAATAATCAAGGAGGTTGCAGTCTGGGGAGTTAGGTGACCAGATATAAGGGGTGATGTGGTAGCATAAATTGTCTGACAGCCAAGACTGGGTCCTCCTGCTTGTATGGTATGGTACAGAGTTTAGACAATACCTCTTTATGGCACTTGATTTAGGACTCAGTGCTGAGTCTGAGGCCCTCACAAACAAATTTGGGAATCCTTTTCTTATCAGAACGATCAGAGGGAGTTTTCCAAGTTGTTGTATCTTTGTAATCACCATTAGACAAATCCAACTTTTTCCAAATAGACTGCACTGTCTTCAGATTAACACCCAAACACTCAAAAATGTCTGTATTGGATCTTGAATACCAAACATTACAGCATGCAGTTTCCAAATTTCTGACAGATTGAACTGCATCATAGTGCACTTTTTCTTACAGACGGTGTTCAACTAACCCTACTATACTGTGCAGTTGATTATCTCAAAAACAAACAACGCTCATGTGCAAAATTAAAAATATAAAATGGCGACAATTTACTCATCACACCCTGTATATAGTAGAAGCACTAGACCAGATATGGCAGCAATAGTTCATACATGAACAAATGGTAGATTTATAAATATGCAAGATGGATTCTGATGAGAAAAATTATCAGGCATGTTACAGTGAACCAACTTGCCTTGCAGTTGATGAAGCAAATAGTTCAACTTTATGTCTGTGTAAAACATGATCCCATAAAGGTACAAAGAGTTGTTCTTCTGGGGGTTAGCATCAGCCATGCTTACAGCAGGCCTTATGGTGATTAAATGAATGCAGTTTTGTTTTAGAGGTGTTAAAATGTACAAGCTATTCCTTGCCCCAGTTAACCCTTGATTGGAGGTCCTTTTTGAAAGTCATTGCCAGTTAAACCTGCTGGACTTGCTACTAAGACAGGAGTGAATATTTGTGTCAACAACATAAATTCCTATTTGGGAACTGATGGCATTGGAAATATTCGAAATGAAGATCAGAAGCGATATAGAGATTATATATTAAACATATTCTGTTAATAATGCTTAACTAAATTCCTCAACATGAACAATCCCTTTTCTCATGCTATATTTATATAGTAAAATCATTCACAATAAACTTATAGTATACCTATAATAACCCTATTTTATCAGTAACACTTGCATATATTCTTAACCTCTGACATTTTCCTTTTTCCTGTTTTTTTTAGCATACTTTTCACCTGTGGAACTCTTTTTCATTTTTTTGCTTCTCTGTTACCTACAATCTTCAAAAAACTTAAATGTAACATCAATCTTTTGAACCTGTTCTTTTATTGTCCTTTCTTCCCACTAAAGTCTTCTTATTCTCTTAGTAACCCCTTACATCTTAATAGGATTATTGCCTTGCTTGCAGTGAAATGATTATTAAAAAAAATTTTAAATTACAAATCCATTTGTAATGTATATTTATTAGCCCCATTCTGGCAATAATAATTTTATTTATTCCTGAACACTGACAATTCCCATTTTTCAGATTTTCACAGTATTTGTATAGTTAAATGAGGGGCAATGCATTTATATTATACCTATAAAACCTCTGTTCTCTCAGCAACACTTGCTTTGATTCATGATGAATAAAAATACCTTTCTTCTTGATTTTCAATATGCTTCTATAGTAAATATCATTCGTGTCCAGGGTATGATGATAAATTACATCCAGCAGCAAAGCCTCTGATCAGAAGATTGGAGGTTTTGGGGAGCGTGGAACTGCCTCTTAATTGCTGTTGTTCTCAGGTCCACTTTGACCTGGGGTGGTAGCACCTGTTAGGGTCTCGACTATGGGCAAATAGTGAATCCCCAAACAAAAAATCAACATTACATTTTTATAATAAAATGACCAACAATACAATTTCATAGCAAAATGGCAATCAATGCAACACTAAAAAACATAAAAATACATTTTTATAGCAAAATTACCAATAATAGATTTTATGATATACAAAATATATATCTAAAAAACATTCCTTTAAGGCATAAAATTGCATTCAAAATATTTAGATTTTGGCATTAAATAGCTCATAGAGGTGTTGATGTGCCGCTAAACAAAATCAACCAACTAAATATCATTAAGAATTCATTTATATTAATAATTCAATACTGTCTATCATTTATAATTCACTTCTTCCTGATTTTAATGGCATTTATATAGTAAAATAAAAATAATTTCAAATTAATTTCTACAGCTGTCAGCCAAGACACCTGGTCACTGGTGCTGTTGAGGTCAATAAAAGAATAGGACAATAAACACTCTTCCTCATTTTTTTCCCTTGGCAGACCATATTCTTAATTTCAACCAGCGATATGGCACATCACACATATACACACATTATCTAACAGCAAAGTCTATACTGTTTTCCTTCCTTTTTCAGCTATCTGTGTATACACAAGTATGTTTTCTCACTTTGTGAATTACGTGTAGACTTCCTCAGTGTTGAAAATTATTCCCTTTTGAAAAAGTTGATGCCACTGCTGTTTACCTTGAGCTCCTTCATAAAATCTAAAGAAGAGTCAGCAATATTGTTGGTCCTGGTCTGGCACCTCAGCTTCAGTCATGCTGTAAGGTTGCCTCTCTGTGCCTTTTCAATAAATACTTTCATGGTAATTGTTCAGATGAGCTCTTTGCTCTAGTATCTAGTCTTTATGAATTTAAGTGCAGTACTAGACTGGTGTTAAGATCTCAACAATTTATAGTTGAACTGGCTAGAGGTAGCCATAAGTTCTATGCCAACATTTTCTTTTCTCGCACTTCTCACTTGTGGAACTCTCTTTTGGCTCCATACTTTCCAGCCAATTTTAATCCGCAAAAATTTAAATGCAATATCAATCACTATCTACTGTCCTCCTGATTACTCTTTTCTCTTTCCACTCATTATTAATGTTTCTGTTCCTAATTCTTCTACACCATCTAACCCCTTGTGTCTTAGTGGCTTTACTACCTTGCATGGGGGGATACTAATTAAAAATTCTTTGAATGTTTTCATCCTAGTCCATAACAAGTCACAGCTGCTCCTATACACTGGTGACCAAGAGGCACCTTGGCGTGGTGTAATGGTTAGCAAGGTTGTCTTTCTAGATTAGTTAGTACTGAAAAGTGAATTCGATCCTCACTGGATGCCCCATACTTTTGGCCTTGTGCCACATCTAAGCTATGCTTGGAAAATCTCTACACTGGTGACCAAAATTAGTCCTATTAATTTCAATCATGTAGTACTTGTGTAATATAATACAGAATATGTAGCTATTGAAATGAATCAGTTCTGATATATTTGTTTGATAAATCCTACCTGTGATATCATGGGCTACTTAAACAACTAGTTTAAGTAAATATTTCAGTGTATTTCTGGGATTGAATACTGACCTTTGACACTAGTATTACAAGACTAGTTCCTGGAGATTTATTTTCCCAATATGTTACTGTCTCAGTGAGTAAACAAACCCCTTTACAGAGTAACAATGGTCAGCAAAATAAAATTGCTGTCTTTTGTTTTGCTGCCATTGTCCAATTGGTAGATATATTTACTCCATGATGCATGAAGATTTGGAACTACTTAAATAGACTGGTCCACTCATAAAATATAATGAAAATTGTTTCAGGGAATAATTTTTATAGATTAGTATCCATTAGACCTTCCTCAAGTGACAACATTTGTCAGAATAAAAGAATATTGAATTTTTATCTATTTAGAACAGGAGTCTATTTCATAATATTGATAGAGGGAAAAATCATAGATTGATTTTATACTGTATGCATATTATGAACAGGACACTGCTTTTAAAATAATAAAAAAATCAATTTTTTGGATTCTGAAAAATGTTAGACCTTCAAGAAGGTCTAATGCAGTGATTTTCATTGGCCATGATTCTCAAATGGCATACATATATATATATATATATATATATATGTGTGTGTGTGCATGAGGAAGTAGTACATATTGATACATTTTGCATTTCAATACGAAAGGAATATCCGACATTAGCTAAAAATGGCTTTATCAGTTTTATTGCAATTTTCTATTTCTTATTTATGTGAATTATGATTATCAACCTTAAATAACACCAAAAATAACAGGTGAGAAAGACTACGCTCAACTGAAAAAGAAATGAGGGTCTGCTTATCGCACATTCAATCAAACATTAAAGAAATTGCAAAAACATACACCAGGTACAGGTTTCACACTAAATAAGCTGAACAAATAGTTGAAATAGAAACATTGAAATAAAGTAAGCTCATATTTGTGTGCATATTTTTTTTAAATCTCTGGTTTTATTTCATAACATTTAAATGTATACTCTTTAAAAATTCTACTTAGTGTGCCATGATATTTTCTGTTGCTTCTAGGTGTGCTGTTGCTTAAAAAGATTGAGAAAAACTGGTCTCATGAATGCTAACACGCAAAAGTTATTTTCCATATTTTTATGAGCAGACCAGTATACTTAAGTAATGCCAAAGATTTTGATTGCTTGCTTTATTTTCATCTTATTATAAATCTAATTCTATTTCTGTGATAAAAAAAATCTTCATTTAGTTTAAAGAATAATCTCTTTCCTTTTTAATTATGTTTCCAGCCAAAGGGTACACCATATTGTCCAGATGCTGAAGATATATCCAGTATTAGACTGTACGGTGACCATGAAGTCATTCTTAAAACAAAAGACTTCAAACAAGAATACATAGCATCAACACTTGAACTGAAGGACATGGAGGTATGTAGAGACCAACAAATTTCTTCTGATCTGTTCTTTGCAGCTTTAATGCATGTGACTATATCATTGCTGTATGAAATATTTTGTTTTAATATATGAAACAGTTTCTCATTTATTACCTAAAGTTTTGAAGTGAAAGATTTTTAGTACTTCAGTTAGATCAGCAAGCTTTAAGTATGAACAATATTTTATTTATTTATTTGTTGTCACAAATCATCCTTCTTTAAATATTGTGGACTGGCACTACTGAATCACAAACAAAGAAATGTACTAAATAACAGAAACCACATCACTTGAGCACTACCAACAGCAGCAACAACTAAAACGGATTGCATATTTAACGCAAAGAGAAAATAATGACATAATCAAGATGTTAACATTACACACCACTTCACATAAATGGTTACAAAGGAAACCACCATCAATACTGGAAAGAGCAATAGAAAACTTAAGAAATTTGTTTTCCTAAAAAATTGTTTTAAAAGAAAGATAAGTTTCAGCCAAAAGCAGTAAGGCTGCTCGGTCAATGAATGCCAAATATTTACTTGTAACAAAACAAATTGCTTATATTATCATTAATATTCTTAGAGATGACAATCCTTCTTTGAACTTTGTGGACTGGTACTGCAGAATCATGAACAAAGAACAATACAAATAAATAGAAACCACATCACTTGAGGACATTCAACAGTAGTAACTACTAAAATGTATAGCAAATGTAACTCGATGAGAGAATAATGACATAATCAAGATGTCATTGTTCCACACTACTTCAAACAAAAGGCTAGGAAGGAAGCCTCTATCAATACTAGTAAAGGCAATAACAGTGAGTTTGAGAAACCTATTTTCCTGAAAAAAACTATTTTAATAGAAGGCTTTTATAAATTCTAACTGAAAGTGACACTGGCTTTTTTTTTTGTGCATATTAACATATAAAAAACCTGGCATCATACAGGCATTAGATTCTGAGAAATGGATAAAAATATTCAAAATTGATGGGTATACAAATAATTTTGTCATTGACTATATATATATAAAAAAAAAAAAAAAAGAAAAATTAAATATATATATATATATATATATATATATATATATATATATATGATATGATAGAGAACAAATAGGAAACTTATCAATCCTATATGTTTCTTTATCTTATCATTCTGTCAGATACTGATCCATATTTAATCCTATCTCATATATATATATATATATATATATATATATATATATATATATATATATAAAGTTTGATTTATGTACAAAGTTTTATTATGGCTTTAAAAACAAACATTAAAAAAATTATAAAGCTACGCCTTTTTTGTTTTTTGGAATGTTTCTTATTTGTTCTTTTTTAATTCACCATTTTATGGTGAGTAGTAATTATTTTTTAACTCTCCTCCTTGCTCCCTCTTTGTTTTAATGTATTTGTATCTATTAATATATACTTTTAAAATATCAGTTATTAAAACCATAACATATACTTATATATAAAAATATATGTACACATTCACTGGCCGCTTAAGTCCACATGAACAAATGCTCTTTCATGAAAATTTCTAATCAACTAATGATGTAGCAAAAATATAATAAATATATGCATTTAAACATGATCATCACAACTTGCTGAATTTCATTTCATGCATTAGTATGGGAAGAAAGGCAAGTATTAAAAAAAAACTGCTGATCTAAAAGCATTTTCATGCACAACCATCATTGCAGTTTACAGAGAATAGCCAGAAAAAGAAAAAAAAATTATAGAGCAACTTTTAGAATAAGGTAGAAAAGCCAATCAATGTAAAACTATGGAGTCCCATAATAGCAATATGAACCCAAATCTTGAAAGAATATTTCAAAAACTTTGTTGAATCCAGACTAAAATGAACAAACACAGTTCTAAAGTCAAAAGGTCATCCTATGCAAGATGCCCAACCCCAAAGAATTAATCTGTGGTTTGTACCTCAACTATGCTGAGCAGACTTTAGTTATAGTTTTCTGGGAGAGAGCACATAATCTAGCATAATTAATTTTTTGAACAAAGTTAGAATAACTTGTGATTTCATTCTAACACGACCATCAACAGTTTCCAAATAGTTCCATCAATCCAGTTTTAGTCACAAGGTTTGGGTTAGCTCATGGTGTAATTTTCAGGCACTTTCCAAAGGTGCCACATACTGGAATTGCCTCTCCAGGCTGATATAATGAAGAAGTCACCACTGTGCAAAATGGATCATGATGAGATTTGAACCCAGATTTCATGGTCAGAAATCAAATGTTCTTGGCCATGTTCCCATAATATAAATAAGTTTTGCTGAATTAAACTGACAAGATCAGTCAGTTTAATTTTTTTTATTGTATTTTTCTAAATTTCAAATACGTTGTACCTCCATTTCAAAATTGTGGGATAAACTGTCAAAAGTTTGTGTCCCTTGTGAGTTGAATTTAAGAAAACAGCAATAAAATATTAAATTTATGAACAGACAAAATAAATATATTTCATAACATCAAAAATGAATAGAACAACAAAATTTGATGTATGAAGAAGTGATACCTTAAAAAAAAACTAACATGAATTGTGGCAATAATAACTTATAAAAGCATTTTTGGATTACATAAGTTATTTGAAACTTGAAAATTTATATGCCAATGTTCACAAGAAACCTTAAAAATGGTCAGAAATATATTAAAAAAATAAACAAAAAAAGGCTTATGAAAAGATTTTCAATGTTCTTCAGACACACTTGTATGAATGATAAATTGTTACCTGAATACAGTGTATGTGTATATATATATATATATATATATATATATATATATATGAGTCAGAGCGCCGAGTGCGAATTCCAATTGAATCCATTAAATTCACTTACGTGCTAATACCCTTGGGAAAGGTGTGAAACCTCCTCTTCTCCCTCCAGCTAAGGGTAAATAGCAGGACAGACTGGATTCTAAAGCCTTGGATTGCAACTGGTCTAGGAGAAGAACAACTCTGAATTCAAAAGATACAGTGGGTCGTTTGGGTACCTTGTGGCATGTAGGGCACAAGGTCTCTATATTCGGCCCTTCAAAGTGTGGATGGTCCTGCACGAAACCTTCACCACTATAATCAAATCTCATGTGCTGTTGTCAGGCTGTCGGTTTCCTATAAACTGATCTGCCTTACACTCACATCGAATTCGACAAGAGAGTCATATATATATATATATATATATATATATATATATGTATGTATGTATGTATGTATACATATATATATATATATATATATGTATGTATGTATACATATATATATATATATGTATATATATATATATATATATATATATGTATGTATGTATGTATGTATATATATATATATATATATATATATATGTATGTATATATATATATATATATTTATTAAAGACATTTTTTTTATGTTTAACGTTGTTATTTTATAGATACAAGTATTTAAGCAAATGCTCTGTTTATGATAAACAGTATTAAATAACATTTACCGCCTGAATGTCCGAGAAATTTTCATAGAAAATATTCGTTCTTTGACAGGATTCAACCTGCATCCTATAATGAACCGTCATATACGCTGACGTGCCTTAACCTCTAGGCTACAAAGAACCAATCGGTAGACAAGGTCGAATTTACTGCTTATAAACTCCAATCTTCCATGAATCTCGTACATTCATAACTGCTCTAGGCGTATCGAATGTAAACAAATGACGTCATATGTTAAGAAATGGACAAAGGTCCGACAATTTATTTATTAAAGACATTTTTTTTTTTTTTTTATGTTTAACGTTGTTATTTTTATAGATACAAATATTTAAGCAAATGCTCTGTTTATGATAAACAGTATTAAATAACATTTACGGCCTGAATGTCCGAAGAATTTCATAAAATATTGGATTTCTTTGACAGACCTGTCCCACCGATTGGTTTTTGTAGCCCAGAGGTTAAGGCACGCCAAGAACCATATGACGGTTCCAGATAGGATGCAGGTTCTAATCTCTATCAAAGAACGAATATTTTCTATGAAAATTTTAAATATTCAGGCTTGTCTAAATGTTATTTAATACTGTTTATCATAAACAGAGCATTTGCTTAAAATACTTTGCATCTATAAAATAACAATGTTAAACATAAATAAAAAATGTCTTTACATAAATAAATTGTCGGACCTTTCCAACATATTTTGTAACATACATATTTCAACATATATATAACATATATGTATGTATATGATATATATATATAATATATATATATATATATATATATATATGTATATATAAATATATATGTATACATTATATATATATATATATATATGTATGTATACATATATATATGTATATATATATATATATATATATATATATATGTATATATATGTATATATATATATATATATATATATATATATATATATATATGTATATATATATATATATATATATATATATATATATATATATGTATATATACATATATATATATATGTATATATATATATATATATATATATATATATGTATACATATATATATATATGTATATATATATATATATATATATATATATATATATATATATATATATATATAAAACAAAAAAAAAAAATCTTAATATGCAATTATGCTCTGTGTGTCAATTGCATATTAAGATTTTTGTTTGTTTTTTCTGTATATTTTTCGTCATACTGTCGGATCTATGTTCATATATTTGCTTACATACATATATGTATACATATATATATTTATTTATTTATTTTTAATCTCATCTTGGTCAGTGCAAGAGCTATTCAGCATTTCAATTTTTTATGTATATATGTATGTATGTATGTATGTGTGTGTGCGTGTGTGTTTATCATAAAACCCGTAATGCTTTGGGTTTGCAAACATAGAATTAGGAGCATTTATTTTTGTATGGCTTTGCACTTCTGCCTCAGATAAAAGTATTTGTGAACTAGAATCAAAGTGTTACTCTTTTGGAACTCTAACTGG